CTAAAATTCTCAATTATTGATTAAAAAAAAATATACCTTATCGAGCATATTGTTAATATGCCTTTCAATAATACTTTTCAACTCCATTAAGTACCACAGTTGAGTGTAACCATGGTGTACATTGAATCGATTAAGCCAACCTTTCACCTGATTACTCTCAAAAACCTCTTTTTTGATCACTTCGATATAATTATGTAAAGAATGAATAAGGCTGAATAATTCAACACCTGCAATTTCTTTTTCCATTAAAAAAGAGCGCAAATGCAACTAAATTATTGAATTATTTTCTCTTCCTTAATTTAAATCAACTTAATTGATAATTGATATTATAACATTCCTCAAAAACTTTTTCAGTGCAACATTAGAACTTTAATTATTCAGATCAGATAAACTATCAGATACTATTCATACTATCATATCACAAATGATATTAAAATAGAATTTCTAAAAAATATTAATAATTGATAGACTCTGATTAATAGAAAAGAAATTCTCATTAATACACAAATATTATTAAATTAATTATATTTTAAATTAATTATAAAATGTAAAAAAAAAGATGAAATTTCAAGGATATATAACCTGGGAAATCGCAGGAACTGAATGAATTCATGTATTCCAGTGAGATCATTGTTGTACAATTCAATGCAATTGTGGTGGCACTAATTAGCGATTCAGTAGAATATCCATCACCTGCTTTTGCTAACTGTAAGAACAATAACAAGCATTACTAATAATATATTCAGATTAGTAGAGTTCATTGTAATATTCAATGATTACTAAAAAATCGATATTCAAAGAATTGGATAAAAACTTTTTTTATCAAATTAATCGTTGGAGTTTTTTAATTTTTGATATATTTTAAAAGTTTTAAATGATATTTATCCAATCAGTTATGTGAAATTGTAGATTGGATTGAACAAAAATCTTCCGGATTTTCATATGGAGTAAAAAAAATCTTCATACATTTCAATTTTATGACAGTATCGCTTTAATTTAATTTAAAACTTTGAGAATATGTTTTACTATACTTATTAATTACTGTTGGGCAATGTTTAAGTCAGATTTTAAAATTTAATAAATTTGAGTTAAAAATATTTTTGAATGGAATATTTTCAACTTACTAAAAGATTTAAAATAGCGGATGGAAGTCCAACTGGAAGAATTTCGCATAATACAGCAAAGTGATCGTATCGTTGCCAACCGGTTATGATCAAACCGCGAAATGTATGGAATAGTCTGCCATATAACTAAATTTAGCAAAATATATTTTACAAATAAATGAAATATTAATAGTTTTTAGTTTTTTACACTTCTCTCCCTTGCCGAAATGTGTGTATCGATTAATTCTGTCTGTGACAATTTAGTAATTTCACACAGCTTCGAAAATTAAAGTTTAGGTTTAAATTTTAATTCTAAAAAGATGAAAAGTTTTTTAAATTTAACAATTTTGTATAATATTTTAAGGGTAAAATAAAAATGACAGAAGTAGGAAATGAAATTTTATATGTTTAAAAAAAAAATTTAAATCTAAACTTTAATTTTCGAAGCTGTGTGAAAATTTAAAAAAAAAATTGTTTAATTATATATTATTAGCAATAGCTATTGTATGGAATGAAATTAATTTAATTCTTGCGTATGAATTGGCAAATTTGAATTAAATATTGAAACTGGAAATTACAAGAAGCATTTTCAATACCACACAACTTTGCCTCTCATTTTCTCATTTGAGAACGGCAAACAGTGATTTTAGAATGAAAATTTTGACAAAAGATTTATCTATCAAGAATAATTCAAAATTTATAAAGCAAAAATTTCGTGTGCAACAATTATATGTTAGTAATTTAACAAATCTTCACTTTTGTATATTCATTTAAGAAATTTTTCTTTTTACAAATTAAAATGGCTCTATTTGATCCTTTCAGCTATTGTTTTTCAAAAAAAAAAAAGTTTTCTTGTCTGTATTATTTACAGACAATTTGTATCATAAAAAAACAGCTTTTATTACTTCTGCTTAGCCTATCACAAAACTCCGATCTTCCCGCTGCAACAATTTATTTTACATAATGCTACGCATTTTATATGCAATTTTAATTTTATTTTTAATTTTTTGCTATGTTAATTCATACATATTAAAGTGGATTTTTTTTTGTCTTAGCTTAAAATAAGCAACGAAATAAACCTTTGAAGATCGAATTCATTCATTAAATTATTAAATCACTGAAAGAGCAATTTATAATTTGACATCCAGTGATGCTTAAATTTCAAATTTTATGCAAATTTTATTGCAATTTCAGTTAAAAAAAAAGAATTTACTTTCCGATGAGTAATCCATTTCTTATTGTTTCGGAAGTAATGCTTTAAATCCAAAAACTGCGAGGATGGTCCATTGGCTCCTTTATAAGCAGAAGAGCCCCAAACTATTGGAAATTTTGTAGCGAGAGAATTCCACGTGTGTTCTTGCAAAAGAAATTAATTTTAACGTAAAATAAATGGAGAAAAAATTCTCAGAACTTTATTAATATGTATTTTTTAGGAATTTCAAATTTATAATTTTAATAAAATTTTGGTAAGAATTTTTCAAAAATTTCTCAAACATTTCTGAAATTTTTTGGAAAGAAGTGTGTAAGGAAAAAAATTGTAACAAAGAATTTATCACTTTTTTATCTACTCTAAATATTATATGTCCTTGCTTGCATTTTTAAGTGCTGCTTGCTAAATTAATGCAAATTTTAGTTCAAAACATTTCACTTTCAAATTTTCTAATACAAATTTGTGAGATATTGATAAATTTAAGTATACCATTTTGTTGTTGCAATGTTTCAGAATAATCCCAAACTACCACTTCTAAAAGTTGACCCAGATGATATTGTTCTACCAATTTCATCTCAAATGATTCAATCATATCATACCATGCTAACACTCTAAAATTCATTCATAAAAATTTCAAATACTAACAAAAAAACAAAAACGAATAAATTTAAATAAATGAAATCATAAAATTCACCTAATATTTGGAATTAACGTTTTGACATATTTTGCAATTTTTGCTAAATGCATTGCTGCGAGATCATCTTTTTTTTTATTTGTGTTTATTTCCAGCCATTGACGATCTTTCAAGCATTCACCAAACTAAAACAAACATTATTTGATGAAATATCGGAAAAAGTTTCAAAAAATATAGCACTTAAAAATAATTCGATGATCTATTTGAAAATGCCTGAAATGATTGTATGGTAATGAAAAGGAATAGTTTGGTAAATAAAATATCTTTCAGAATGCTTTAGCTTTTCTGAAAAGAAAAGTTCAAGCAGAGAATGTAAGAGGAAGAAAAGAGTGATAAACCTGAAAAGCTTCATCAGCACCAATGTGAAAATACATTATTCCGAATGGTTGATGAAGTTGGACAACCTGCCGTATAGCTTCCAAAATTACTGAAACTCCATCATTATCTGCTAAGCAAATGACCTGTAATTACTTTAACAGTTGAAATCATTTTTGCGCCTATTATTATGCCGAAATTTTTAAGATAAAAATAAGCTGAAAACAATTTGGTCCAACTAATTAATTTAAATTACACTCAGTTAATTTAATACAAGTTGACCTGTGGAAACATATCATTTTGTCGATATTGTCTAAATTTTTCCACTTTAAGAATCCATTCTAAATGTCCAAATGTTGGCACAAGCGGTATAACATCAAGATTGAGTGATTTAGCTGTTTGCAAAAGGTCACGGACTTCTTCCACCGTATAAGCATCACTATTACGATTCTCTGCTAGAATACCATCGAATGGAAATGTATCCTCCCATTCTATCAAAATTCCTATAATGTAAATTATAGCAACGATACTTTCTCAAATTATTTTTGTTACAGAAAAATTTTTTCTCAACTTATCTCGGCAACAGTGAATATAAACTTATGATGATTTAAAATCAAAAAGAACCAATTTGATAATAAGAAATTAAATATTGAGAAGGTAAATAATGATCCTTTTCAATAGTCGAAATTTTTTTATAGTGAAATAAATGAAGGACAAACCTGTAGCACCGTTTGCTTTTATAAGCTTCAATACTTCTTTGAAATATGATAATTTTGGTGCAGCACCTTTTAAATCAAAATGAATTATTCTGTTTGCGTAAAATGATTTCTGAAATGTTAAAATAATATGTGAAAATTTTTCACAATTACAGATTTTGAGGAATGGAAGTAGTAAGGAAGCAAATTTTCATTAAAAGTAAAAGAGGAATTTTAAGGCTTCTTAAACAATCGACACTTAATATTCAATTGAAAGCACACGTAGCACACACCGTATGGTCATCTAATTAACAAATTACAATTCGATTAATAGCAAAACTATATACTCACACCAGACTATTCATAAATTTCAATGTTAGACTTATTTAACGAAATTAAAAATTGAGGTGGATTGAAATTTTACAAAATGAAAAATTATAATTTTTCTAAAAAGACATACGTTGTAAGAAGTTTTGGTGTCTCCATTTTGCACTTCGTGTGAATCTCCTATTTTAACTAACCCCAATGATTTAGGCAATTCTGGTATTTTCCAGTGGTTAGGCATGCGGTCTTTAGTTTTTTCTATCAAAAATTTGGCATACTCTTTCTGCAAATTTCGGATTAATTTTTGCTTCAAAATCATCTAAATTTTAAGCAAATTTTAATTTTAAAATGTATCAAAATCAAATCCTTTTTCTGCCTACAATTCAAAAAGTTTTTCTTGAGAGTTTGTAATATCTCCTAACTACAGCTTGATTGACTGGCTAAAATTTAATTCTAAATTAAATTCTTTCCATAAAATAACGAGGATGGTTTTGTTTATTAAAACAACTTGAAATAACATAACTAACATTCCATTCTAATTCCTGCAAATCTTTTATTGCCACTGATGGATGTTTGTCCTCGAAAACTTGGAAATGTTCCATATGCACCTCATCTTTCTAAATTAATTCTTATAATTAATAACCATTCTTTTTCCCTAGTGCACATCAAATTCAATTATTTTTGCTTAATGATTTATCATTTATTTATTTTAATTAACTAAAATTAAAGAAATTCTAATACTGCTTGTTTTGCATAAATTTTTCAATAAATTAAAAAAAGGGAAAATGAATGATTGTAACCTTTGTTTGCTGCTTGTAAGCAGATAAGCCAAGAGTAATTTCAAGAATAATGCAACAAAATGTAAGAATTAGGATTGTTCGCATAGTTACCATTCGCCGAATTCTACATCTGAGAAATCGAAACTGTGTCATTGTGGACATAACCTAAAAATTAATTATTTAAACAATTTTTATAATTATATTCAAATGTATCTAAGTGTATCAATAAGAAAAAAAGGGAACAGTTAAATTTTCATTCTCCAAAATTACATTATTGTCGAATCATTCAATTAAAGATGAAACAAATTTACAAATTTAGCAAAATTTAGATGCGAAAGTTACACAACCGTTTAGGAGAGCATAATGAAAATGTCGTGAAAAAAAATTTTTTTTAACATTAGTCGGTGAGTTTTTGCATCATTTATTGTTATGTAAATTTTTTTACCATTTTCCTTCCGATTAATTTAAATGTAATCGAATCGGTCACAATTATTTCCATTTTCTCATATTTATGCAATCAAATACTAAAATTTCCTCGCAAATAATATAGTTCTTTCTTTTTTTGTTGAATGTAATTAAGTATTCGAACTGTTGTAAAAAAAAATGGAACTCATGGAATGTACATTTTTTCATCATTCCATTTTGATCAAAACATAATTTTCATTCCATTTTGATCAAAACATAATTTGCATAATCATACATCGTATGAATTATTGAATAAATATGCTGAGAATTGTAGGCAACAAATTCTAAACAAAATTGAACGCTTTCATTGAAGAGATTTAACAATTTGAGAAGGAAAAAGAAACAAAAAATATGACAGCAATGTTAAATTTAAAATTGTCATAAATTTTGCAGATTTGCTAACCGAATGGATTTTTTTTGGAAGAGAATTTAAATAGTTAAGTAATTTAATCATCGAATAAAATGTCAAAAATTTGCTTTTTTTAACGTAAGCGAATTGATGAAATGGAATAGTAAGTAATGTTAGCATGGGTGAAACGATGGGAGCAAATGCACCAAATCATCCATTTCTCATCGATTCAGATTTTGTTCACCTGTCATATCGTTGTGGTAACCAATAATGCAATAAAGATAATTAGATAATGATTCAATTTATAGAATCTTTTTGATTACTGAATAAAATTAACGATGGCTATCAAATGTTCATAATTTATTTGTTTTCATTATTTAGCAGTTTTTCACAGGTAAAAAATTGAAAAACAATGTAGGATGAATCACTTGATCGTCTACTATTAAATGACCTCTGGAATACTTACTTACTTCAATCATTGTCCATTTATTCAAAATATGAAGCAGTACAATTATGATATTATAATATGTTACAAAAATGATTCTTTACAATAAAAGTTCATTGACTTCTTCACCTTTCGTTTTCTTATCTTTACCGGCTGTATATGAATATATATGAATATAAAAATAAAAATAAACAATATAACAAAATAAATATGAATTATATATTTGTTTTGTTGGTATTATTTTATTTTTATTTTATATTCAATTTCGCACTTAAAAATAATATAAATAAAAGTTTGCATTTCGTGATACAAAACAAAAAATTTTAACTAAAAATTGAAATTAAAGGAATTTTCGGTGCAAAATAGTAAATCAATGGAGCAATACAATAAATGACCGATAGATTAAACTTTTTCCATTTATCCCTTTGTCAAATAAAATCTTACGATGATTTTATCGAATTCAATTCAATTAAGAAATGTAGCCTATAGGGTTAATTTTGAAAAATTTCACGAATCACTGATCAATTTGAATTTTACAATGCACGAAGCAAAGCCTTTAAGATTCTCAGTTGTTAACAAATTCAACCATTAAATGTAACCATATTGAAAGCGCAGTACACTGAAAACAAATTAATTTATGTAAATTACTTTTTATGTAAATTAATTTATGTAAATTCCATAAAATTTCAATGTTTTTTTCTAAACACTTATGGCTGTATCAGCGATTTATAACGACATAATAGGAATTATCGATCACAGGGCGCTAATGATCGATGATTCTTATCATCTCATTACAAATCCTGTTTTTGTAATTACTTACTATTGTCCACTTACACAATTCAAAATCATTTATCCATTCATCTCTTATTCTGCAAATCCGAAATTTTCTTCCATCAATAATTTCAAGTGCTTCTTTCAACAGTTTGAGACATTTGCGCATACATCTCCTGAACATCAAACATCTTCAGTTATCTATCATCAGGCAATTGAAGATATTTTCAAACCTAGTAAAAGGAAAAACAAGGAGAAGGGTCAAAAAATTCTATGCATGCATAGAATTAAAACTCGAATGTTTGAATTTCCCATTTGCTGAATTCAACATTTACCGCTTTTTTCAGGTGTTATCTTAAAATTCAGAAATTCTACAAATAAATTTCAAATAAACAAAATTCTATGTTCTCGAAAAAGTTGCCAAAATTGCTTTTAAAGTCTTCAAATTTTTATGTGGTCGTGTAGGAAAGAGAGGGAAGCCGTTATGAATGTATATTTATCAGAAAAAAGAAAAATTTTGACAATTGTTGAAGTGACATAGTTAGTTGATTGAATTGTAACGAAAGGAGAGAGCTCTCTGATTGAGCAGACAGAGAGAGAGGGAGAGATAATTTTTGAGAGAAATCATTACTCTTTTTTTCTCAGTCAAATTTTGCATTGAAAATCATGCATTATTTCATGAACTTGATGTGAATTTGCATCAATCAAATACCAAAATTCAATTTGAAATCAAAAAAAATGAAATAAAATTAAAACTTCGTTTTCATTTATGAACGGATAAGTATAACAACTCATTTATTAAATCGCTAACTTTTTCACAGGGCTCAAAACGATATAAATGATGAAAGTAATTACGAAGTGAAATTATAGTCGATATTTAGTTTTAATTCAAATGAGTCAACCTATAGTTTAAATTGTGATAGTAAAAAGGTTTTAAAATTCGAGACTTTTTTCTCGTAAATTCCTCTTTTCTATTTGCATTAATGATTGTTTAAGTGAATATAAATTGGTGCAACAAAACGGAATGCTAAAAATATCCAATCGAACTTATTGATGAGCGGCATTGGTCTTTCTTCATGATGAATTCACATTTGCCCTTTTCATCAATTTTCACAATTTTTATAATGCATGCATAACATTTTCATCTAAAAAACTGAACTTGAAAAAAATTTTTTTGGCAGCTTTGTTTACAGCTAACCGTTTTAGAGCCTTTTATTTGCTGAGTTCACGAAAAGCTAAAAACCTTAACAATATAATTTTTGGGATGAAAGTAATCATTTAATATGCATGTGAGGAAATTCTTCAATGAAAATCATTTAATATGTAAGATTCTGAAAAAATTACTTTTTAGAATTCATATTTCAAAAATGTATCATTTTTTGATCAAATTAACTCGAAATAAGTAACCTAATTTGCATTTATTTTTAATGAATTTTTGCAATCGATTTACTAAAGCTCTGTCTCTTTTTTTTGTCATCTGTAAAACTATAGGTGATTAATTTTGGTCAGTCTCAATAGTTTAAAAATAGCAAATTTAAAAATTAAAAGGGCAATTTTCACCACACCAATACCTCAAGAAAAGAAGTTCAGCAAAAGTTTATCATTTATCTTGCAATTCAGCCATCGAAACTGTCCGTCTGAAAGAGCTATTTTAAAAAAGCAAAATTTCAATAATTCCCATACATTTTCAATTATTTTTGATTGAGAAAAGTTCTTAAGTCTAAACCTTGTGATATTATACATTGTTTTATTAAAATCAAATAATGTCATTTGAAATTATTTTGAAATTAAATAATATCATTTGAAATTGTTTTGAAATCAAATACTGCCATGTAAATTTCACATTTTTACGTTTTACATTTTTTTTTAAGTTACGTTTTTGCATATTTTTTCAATATTTTTTTGGTATTTTTTTTTTGAAAAAATAAATACAAAAGAGAAAAAGTGAACAAATATCGGATGAAAAAAAATGAATTAATCTATGAAAAATAGATTGAAAAGAGGATGATGGATGAATCCTTCTTGTCAGTCTGATGAACCAGTTTTTGAAATATTTTTGTAACAAACGGAAAGTGACTGTCAAATGAAACAAAAGAAATTTGGGGTATTATGACGTTTTGCTCAAGGACACAAATTAAGAAAAAATGTAAATGAATGTTTATTTCTTTAACTTCCGTTTCATTCCTCTTCCTGAATTCGTTTATCATTTTTTAATATGTATATACAAACTGGTATTGATTTAATTTACTTTAATTTCAACCCCTTTTCATTTTAATTTACTCAATTTTCATCAGATTATATCAATTTACATTCATTCATACTTTGGTTTCATAGCATAACAATTTTATGCTAATAAATCAATGTGAAAGAAAAAACTAATATCACAAACATATTGCGCCAGTTGATGATAAAAAAATGAAATAAAATATTACATTTAATTCATAAATTTCAAAAAAAATTTCATACAGTAAATAATTTAATAATTTAATGTTATTATTTTGCGATAATATGCTAATTTTTAAAAAATAATATTTGAAATTCAATTATTTTGCTAGCAACAAATATCATTAAGTAGCTAAAGGTGGCATGAAATTAAGAAGCATTTCTAATTATCACAATACTATTGACCTAATTACTGATACTACTATTAAAGTTAAAATGGAAAATGAGCGTTGCTCACAAATTATATTGAAAAAGCATTTTTATAAAATTTTTTACTTTTTAATTTTTAATTTTTATTTTTGATGAAAGAGCATTCAGAAATCGAAAAAACCCGATTTAATCATTTGAAATTTTTAGGGAAATAAAAAGATTAGGAAACTGAGAACCAAACTCTGAATTTCAACTGTTATCAAATTAACACTTATTCGCTTAATTTTCTCTTACTATTTTGTGATTCTTTAAATGAATTTCTGAATTGAGTTGCTCACATTTTAACTTTTATTTTTTTGATCTTTAATTGATTATCTTAGTTCTTGAGGAAATTTATCCATTCAGAAATCTCCTAACTTTTTTTCAATGATCAATTCCTGAAATGTAACATTTTGAAGAAAAAAGAAAATTTGAGCATCGCATTAATGCAAC